TCCTTGTATGTCGTTTGTGAGGAGAGCTGGTCTGTCTGGGGTGGTTCCTGTAGTTCGTTTGATCAGGAGGTTTTGTTGGATTGGTGTGAGGGTTCGTAGTAGAGCATCAATGGCTGAGATTGTTGGTCTTCCTCCGAATTGGTCTTTACTGAGGGTTTCCAGGATAGTTCCGGCAGTGCAAAGTCTTGTCGCCACTATCTTTTCCAGTACCTTGCTGAAGCATTGTAACAGGGAGATGGGTCGGTAGGCTTTGGCCGATGAGTATTCGGGTTTTCCTGGTTTCGGGATTGGTATGCATTTTGCCACTTTCCATCGATCCGGTTGGACACCATGTCGGAGCATGGCTGAGAACATGTCTTGGAAGAGTCGGGTGTTTGCCTTGATTGTTGCTTGTATAAAAGGGTATGGGATGTTATCAGGGCCAGTGGCCGAGTGTGTTGGGCATGATCTGATTGCGGATTTGATTTCTTCTGGGGTTACTTCCTGAAAATTGTCACTAAGGTCAAAAGAGGGGGGTCTTATTAGGAGTGGGGGGTTGTTGGGGGACGTCCAATTTGTGGGGAAGAGTTGGGCTCTTAGAGCTTGGCACTTCCCCGCAAACGTTTCTTCACCTTGTATAGTTGGGATTGTAATGTCCCTCCTTTTCCCCGTGTTGACTAGTTTCCAGATGGCACTTCCCTTGGCCTCCGTGAGTTCTTTTTCCCTTTGTTCCGCCTTGGCTTTGCGGATCGCTGTGGTCCACTTTCTACTCGTTTTCCTGAAAGATTCCCTGTCTTCATCCCTTTGGGTGTTTCTGGCTTTCCTTTCTAGTGTGTTGAGGGTTGATTTGAGTTCTTTCAGCTCTGGGGTCCACCACTTCTTGGATTTGAGATGTCCTTGGCTCCATGGGGTGACTTGATCTATTAGGCTATCGATGTGTTCGAGAATGAAGTCGACCGATTGTTTTGTGTGATTCTGGCTTTCCCATGCTTCGGGGGGGAAGTGGAGGCCTGAGATGTTTTCTTCTAATTTTTCCCAGTTTGTTCGGTGCCATAGTCTTCTGGGGATGTGGGGCGGTTTCTCTATTCGTAGTTGCAGGATAGTTTTCCCATGATCGGAACCTGCTCCATATCGGTCGATGTTCCAGCGGATATCATTGTCCAGTATTGGTCCTTTGACTAATGTCAGGTCAATAATAGTCGGTCTATTGTTGTTTCTGGGGAAGTGTGTGAATTCGCCTGGTTCGTTGAGTAGGGATAGCTTCTGTCGATCAATCCATCTTTTCAGCTTCTTGGATCCGGATTTATCTGTTCTGATTGTGTTGGTATAGTCATGGGATCTATGTCCATACCAGAGTTGGTGGTGGCTGTTGAAGTCTCCCATGACCAGGCAATTTTGGATGGTGGTTATCTGACGAGATATTTCTGCGAACGGTCCGCTTCGCCCTGGTGAGTATATGTTGAGGATTTGTGTTTTTTGTTTTTGGATTTCCACCGTGACAGAGACGATGAAGTTATTGTGTGTGTAGTGGTGTTTTGGTTTTAGGTTGGCGTGCTTTCTGATATATGTAGCGGCTTTGGTGCCCTTGTTGCTGGCTGTAAATAGGTAGAAAAGGGGGGATTCCGGTGGGTGGCCGTCTTTGTTGTTCCATGGTTCTTGTAACAAAAGAAAAAGTATGTTATGGTCCTGTTCTGCTTCCTCCACTACTGACTTTGTTGTAAGCTCGTTTTTCGCGCAGTTCAGTTGCTGTGCGATGGCCGTGGTTCTTTTGGTGTAACTCATTGGGTGTTATCCATGGCTGCATCTTCTTGAGGGGCGTCCTGGGCCGGGATGACAATGGGTATTGGTAGGGGGCTTGGGTTTGTATCTGGTCCGAGTTTGTTTGTGATGCGGACTTTGGTACGTTCTGGGCAGTTGAGGTCTGTTGCTTTATGGGGGGCCTTGCAATGAAAGCATCGGATGGGTGTGTGGATGCATCTGGTGCCTCCTGAGCATTCAGAGCATGGGTGTTCTTTTGTTTGGTGGTCTTTTGCACAGTGTCCGCATCTCCCGGTTTGGTGGGAGCATCTTTCCTGTCGGTGGCCGTATTCCAAGCATTTAGAGCATTGGGTTTCTGGGCTTGCTGGGAGGTAGTTGTCGATCTTGCATTGTCGGTCGAACAGTGTGAGGTATCTTAGTCCGAGCTTATCCTTTGTGTACTGTCCTGGGAGAGCGATGATCATTGATGAGTGTGTTTTCCCTATTCTGGCCTCGGGTCTGCTAAGCCATCTGGGGATTTGTGCCATTTCGAATGTGGTTCCGTAGTTGCTTCTGATTTCTGAGGCCATGACTTGTCCTGCTTCATAGCCGTCTCCAATTGTTGTGGGGATTCCGTGTATGATGAATTTGGACCATTTGGAGTTGACCCTGATGTCAACAAAGGGAACTTTGAGTTCTTTCAGGGCTGCTTCGATTTCTTGTTTGTATTCGAAGACTTTTGAGGCGGGTGTGGCGAACTTGGTTTCCAGCACAATATTGTTTTTTGAGGTCTTCCTGGCGGCAATAAGCTGGCAGTCCGGGTTTTCAATCTTAGAGTTGATTTTTGTCCTGATATCGGAAGGGGTGACCGTTGATTCCTTATTTATTTCTATGACAATCTCTCGGTTGATTTTGGTGATTTCTGGTTTGAATAGGGGATCCGCTCTGGGTTTGGGTTTCCTCTTGTTCGTGACGGTGGTGAATTCGGGGATGGCGTTTCCTGCTGCAATGGATGCATAAGATTTTGGTGCTGGTGGGGTTGGTGCCTCTTTCCCTTTTCTTTTTGCTTGTTGGGCATGGTTCAGGTTGTTGACAGGTGCGGTGGTAGGGGCGGTGGTGGAGGCAGTGACGGCGGCGATAGCTGCAGTTATTCCTTCATTGACTACTTTATCACTGGGTCTGGAGAGGTGGGTGAGTTGTTGTTGTAGGCGGTGAAGTTTCTCGGATGTTCTATCTTGGTTTTTTGTCATTTCGAACATTTGTTTGGCCAGGGTATCAATGGTGTGTCTGAGGGATTCATTTTGGACGGATAGAACTTCGATGGTGGCTTTCAAGTTCTTGTTGGTCTGTTCGGTTGTCTGGTTGAGGGGTTCAAGCGCTACGGTGAGGGCATTTCTAATTACCCATGAGATATAATTGAGGTCCATCCTGGCATGGGTTTCTTGGGGGACGATGCTAGGGTGGATATAGTCGTATTTTGGTGCGTAGGGTTCATTATATTGGGTGTGTTCAGCGAAGATAGAGAAGGGTTCGCCACTGAGTTGGGTTTGTTCATTCGTGGTGGATTGTGTTTGTTGGGTGGATTGAGTGTCGGGGAAGCGTGGGGGGGCTGGAGTTCCAGGTGGGGGGGCTCCTGCGAACCAAGAACTCAGGGAGGCTTGTTGGGACATCACTGATGTTCCGGATCGAGTTGGGTTAGGAAAAACTTCTGATAAAGTTCTCTTCCTGCCCGCGGAGTTTAGAGGGTTGGGTGGGTTTGGTGAGGCCAGTTTTGTTATTTTTGTTTTCGCTGCGGTCGCGAGGCTTAAGCGAGGGTTGAGGGGTATGGAGTTCACAACTCAGGAACTAGAGCGTGAATAACTTCGCGTACGAACAGATGTGCAATAAAATACCAATAGATTACGCGGTCTATTGACATACAGGATCGTGTTCGAGTAAAAGTTTTATCGAGAGTGCAGGCCAAAAGTTATTGTTGTTCGAAAGTTTTGGTGTTGCGGGGGTAAATACAAAGGTTCCGTGAAGAGAAAAGGAAAGGAAAGGAAACATGAAAAGACACGAGGCAACGCCCCCTTATATATCCAACCCCTAGTCCATTGATGACTAATACTCCACGTAACGGAAACCGAAAGAACATAACAGAAACCCCATTACCAATCATAGTTCAACTGCGCAATACTTCCTCTTCACGATCCAATCCATCACCCTAGCCAGAATATAATATTGCCGTTACACTATCTTCATATCATGGAACGGTCGATGTGGCGGAAGCACTGAAGCATCATACTCTTCAAACATATGGATATAACGGTGGAACTCCCTCGGTATTAGTTGTTCAATATCAATGGTAGATTTTTCAGTCGCTGCAACAATAGTTGTATGTTTTTCCAGTAGGGGAATCGATATGCCATGAACCGTAACTGCAGTTCCACTAAGCGAACAATGTTGACAGCAGTTTCGAGAGTCAAAAATAAGCAAATTTTCTTTGGGTCGAATCGTAACATCATGGCGTCGCATCCAAGGTATCCCTATCACAATCGGATAGTGTCCCAACTTTGTCACAAAACATGACGCAGTCTCTCGATGGCCATGAATATCTAGCGAAACATCGACAATGTGGGTAATTTTTCCTGACTTGATAGGTCTGCCGTCTATAACGTCTACGTAGCGGGGTATCTTAAGTGGTGTCATGGTGAGATTATTGTGGCGTGCAAAAGATTCATCGATGAAAGCATATCCTGATGCTCCGGTATCAATAAGGGCGTAGGTGGGTACGAAAGTACTTTTATTCTGTGAGATCGAACAAGTTACTACAAATTGGTTCCCATCCATTTCCTCCTCTGATACTGAAAAACCAGAAACACACATTCTAGGAAAATCCTTAAATAGTCCCTGGGCTAAGCCACTTAGTGCAGGGACAAATCTTTTGCCGACTCGTTATCACTCCTATCGTTTTCCTCCATTCTCAATGCCGCTCCCTTCATCACCAGTCTCCTTGGTTGATTTCCAGTTGCCCTCGCTTGGGGACAATCTCTAACCATGTGTCCGACACCTCAGCAATAGAAGCATCGACCCTCAGCTAAGCGGGCGTTTCTTTCGGTAGGGGTGGGGCGACGACGACTCCCAGACAAATCCATCGGTGCATAACCTCCCAGGCGGAACGAGGGATGGTTCTCAGTGGTAGGTGCATTGGTAACTGGGGCGGTAGTACAAGGAGCAGGGGCAGGATTCGCTGGTGGGGGACGAGGGGCTGGAGAAGCAGTAGCATTCCAAGGCTTTTTACTTCCTCACTTAGCTTCTGCCGCTCGACGGCGATTATAGAACCGTTGCAGGAGCATTGCACATGCGTCTACCGTCGCAGGAGTTTCATGATGTATCATTGATTCGTCGAGTTCCACATTAATACCTTCCATTAGAGCCTCAATCCGAGAGACTTCATCCATCCCCGACTCGGCAGCATACCTTTGAAATTCGGCGAAATAATCAGCAAAAGTTCGATTTCGTTGGTGGATGTTCCTAAGATTCCTTCTAGCTATGCGCATTCGATCAGAGTCCCCAAAAGCAGTATCCAAGATTTCATAGAACCGTAGCATGGAAGGCAAAGCGATGCCTTCTTCTCCGACATATTGTAAAAACTGATTAGCGGCGACACCCTCCAGTCGACTGAATGCATAAGATAGTTTAGATTGTAGTGTGGGGAAGCGGTCGGCATTTCCCAATAGCTTGATCCTCATCTGTTGCTTAAATAAGTGTAATCTTTCTCGATCGCGATCTCCTCTAAACACCTTAGGATCTGGAAGCTTCTCTGACCGCTGAGTAGTAGCCGTGATGGGTGTTACTGGAGGCATAGGTGGGGCATCATCACCACCAATTGGTTCTTCATGAGGGGCAACTACTTCAACAGCGACCCGTTGAGTTCGAGCAGGGGCAAGATCTCGCTCGAACATTTCACTTGCATTTCCAGCCTCCCTCTCCACCTCCTGTAAGTCCGTTGCATACCGAGCAAGACCGTGTTGGGCCCGTTGAAGGAGTGCATAAGCTTCTATTCCGACATTATTATCGACCTGTGGGTGTTCTTGAAAGAAGGTTTGAAGGGCGTCGCTTAGTTGCTGATAATCAACAGGGACGTGTTCCGACATTGTAGACTATAGTATTGTATTGGTTGGCGATAAAGGACGCAACCAAGTGTAACGGGGGTCTATGGGCGTAGGGACTATGGTGCCAAGGAATACAACCGAGGCAAGGACGTAGCAGTAAGTGGTTTTGGCTATGGACTATGGGACGGCTCTACTCGGTATGACAAACCGGTTGAACCCTATGACGAGATTTGGAACAAACGTAGTATTCGTGGAGTAAATACAGGTGGTTGCGTGAAGAGAAAAAGAAAAGAAGGAAAACATGAAAAGGCACGAGACAACACCCCCTTTTATATCCAACTCCTAGTCCATTGATGACTAATGCCTCGCGTAATAGAAACCAAAAGAACATAACAGAAACCCCATTACAAATCCTATTCTAACTGCGCAATACCTCCTCTTCATAATCCAATCTGTCGTCTTAGCCTAGCCATACTATTGCCATTACAAGAACACTGATGGATAACATCCCAGGACCACCCACCTGGGAAAACTGGCTCTTCACGAACCTCAACGTAAACCTTATACTACAATTTGCAGCCAAAACAAACCTACTTGACTGGTACGAGATGGATGAGGAGGACCCGGAGGATTAACTCGGCTTTTCTATTTTTCCGTTCTCGTTTCTTTTCCATATCCGACCTTCGTATTCCATTGTTCGTTTTCCTTTTCGCCTTTGTCGTTGTTGTCTTTTCTTTTTCCTTTTGTCTCTTTTGGCGGAGCTCGTTGGCGTCCGATAAGTCTTGTACTTCGAAGCAATATAAATTATCTTTCTATCTATCTTGTATTTACTCCACGAATACTGCTTTTGTCTTACGTCTCGCCATAGGGTTCAACTGGTTTGTCATACCAGGTATAGCCGCCCCATAGTCCATAGTCTTGAATATCTATTGCTACGTCTTCACCTCGGTTGTATTCCTTGGCACTACAGTCCCTACGCCCATAGACCCCCGTTACAATTTGCTAGCGAGGACAAGGCTTGTACTAGTAACGGAGCCATTTCAACTGTCTGGTGTACGAGTACACACAGTGCCTGGTTACAAGCTGAGAGTTATTGTTAGAAGCCAGTTGCACAGTGACATGCAAGTACCGGCAGTTGTGGTTAGCTAACAGCTGTCAGAGTAACCACATTCTGAGTGCTAGGAAGAGGATCTATTCATGGGAGCAATGACTGACGAGTCTATACCTCGCCAATGATTAGAAGGCCAGCCAGAGTGAAGCTCTGAGTGCTCGGCAATCCTCTACATCCTCCGAGCATGATAAGTCCGCCAGTAGTGGCAGGGACTATGCATGGGAAAGTCTACAATAAGCGAAGAGCTCTACAGCAATTACTAAGCTTACGCCTGAACAGCATCTTATTCATCCAAGTCCCGGTTGTGCGACAACCAAAACTGCAGTTGTTATAAAGGCTTTGACTAAGGGTGGTTGCCTTCGGAATTGGAAGCACCCGCTAATGTTTAGAGAGAAGCGGAGTGGCAGTGGTATTGCTTTCCTTCCGCTAGAAGGCATCACCAGAACTTGATAAGAAAGTAGGAGTAGTGGAACGGAATCCTTTGGAGTATAAGTACTCAGGATCTTTCCCAGCAACTACCTGATTCCTCAGTCTTCATCAGGGTTATGAAGAATTTTCTACTCGGTAACAAAGCCTTTAAAGATTATTGAGTCTAAATGATAAACCTTTGAATAATATAAACCTGATTTCTATCTTGCACGGCCAAATCTTTCTATCGAATTCTAGGGATACGTGGAAAGACTGTCCTCGTTACAGGGCTAATGCCAGGACTTAGGCAGATTCGCTATGGTGGGTCACATTCTGGGAGGCAGTGGGGCTTCAAGAGGTGAGGTGTCATATTTGGGATGCCTACTAGGCGTTAAAAAGGGAGGGGTCATATTTTGGACTTCTAATAGGCGTTAAAAGATGACCTATCACATTTTCAATACTTACTAGGTGCCAAAAGACGATGTGTCATATTTCGTGGTAGCGGGACGAGGCATTAGTTGTAGTAGATGAAGTTTTGGGCGCGGAAGACGAATTTGAACATCTGGGTGTGCAGATTTGTACTGGCGAAACCCGTTTTTTGCTGATATAAAAATACCCGTCAGAAATCCCCACTGCTTGCAACAGCTAAAGACCTGAGTCCACCGCAAATCTTGTCGTTATGCCTCATTTTCTAAATTGAATATAAATTGTTGCTTGCCCACTTGTATAAAATCTATACGTGACTAGATCCAGTCAAGTTCACAGCCTTATTTCAATAAATCAAATTGTATATCAATAGATCGATAGTATTATTGAGAAACTACCTATCGTTTCTAGCCGAAGTCATCTCGGGTACCAAATGAACGGTGCCAAAAATGCTTTTTATATTTACTACCCATATATCTTCAAGTGAGTTAGAGCAATTGGATACCTTTAACAGCTCATTGTCCACTTTGTATTTCCATCAGCAAGCTTAACAATTTCTGTAAAGTATCTCTTGAATCTCCAGAGAATCAAAATCCGTTTTGATGTCTCAGGAGCACTTTAGAAGACCCAGGAGACTGTTGGGAAACTCATGTGTTATAGGAACTACGGAACACTGTTCTACACGTTTAGAACAATGAGGAATACGAGTGATGAGTTGTGATGCGGGAACGGTCGGGTAACGGAAAGACAAGTATAGAAAGCTATCGGGTAGTGTGGGTGCACGCAGTGTTAACACACTAGTATTGTACTATTGTGACGGCACGCTTACTATTGAGTGTCTTACTCAAAATAGAATAGGAAGCGGGGCTTACGGCTGCAGGCTATTCTACTTAGGGAAGTAGCTCTAGGATAATAGTATGATACAACTCGATGACTGGCAATTGCAAGGTTCATGGTTACGTGTCGGAATTAAATTGGAGGTCGGAGCTATTCAGGGGCGCTTTTCTATCTGGGTTATCTTCGGGAGTCTTATTTTATTTTATTATCGTTGTATCAGTTAGTATTAGAAAGCGGGCCTTGGCATAGGTTTCAACATGTATAAATAGGGCAGGATTCTGCGACGACTTGAGGGGATCATTAACCATCAAATCAAGGGAATCCGGTTTACAATATTACAAGTTTAAAAGCTACAGAACTATCGCTTAGCATTGGCAGTTCCCCAAACATCATGAATATGTGCAATCTTGCTGATGTCCATTGAAGTTTAGCTTCGATCGTTGTATCGCAGGCAAAAGTCTGAGCCACGTACGTCCCGGGTCCCTGAGCGTAAAGATCGCAAGCAGACTTGTTGGACATAAGCCCTGCAAAGCCTCCATGCCAGCCGGCTTTTGACGAAACTATACCCAGTCATTCTGAGCATCCCGCGCATCTGTAACCCAACGTTCCAATCGTAAAAAGTGTGTGAATTATCTTCTCGTCGCCCTCGGCGTGCAAAAGGACTGGTGCATTGAGTTTCTTGAATGTGTTTACCCATCACTTATCGAGGTCTTCGGGGGTCTCTTCGGACCCAATATGGAGCTCCATCCTGAAATACCGCTAGATGTAATTCGCTAGTCTTATCTTAGTAACAGGGATATTTATACCCTGTACGTTTGTCAACTTGACCGGGCGTTTGACCCACTTCTTGCCCAATATCCTGTCGCTTGTCAAATAGACTGGTGACAAAATACCATGCGCTTGAAACACCTGGTAATCATGAGGATCTCTAAAGTCCGGTCTTGTGGCATGTATTCTCCTTTTGAGATGTGGCTGTAAGACGTCGAGATTACCAATGAGCTCAGATGTCGAAAACCTGTTTTGGACAATTTGCAGAAGATTTACTAGTAGCTCACAAATGGAAAAAGTATGATCACAGTTAAACATCCGATGTACTTCCATAGCAGGATCGACGCGATTGCTCCAACGATATGGTATTGTAATCTGATACCTGTGGGCTGGTTTACAAGACGCCGTCGAATAGTTCAGAATATTGCCGTATTGACTAATTTGCTCTGCGAAATGGCACATGAGGTATATTTTGAGGAAGTTGAAGTGGGATTCTGCTTGCAAGATTTTGTCAGTTTCTGCTTGGGGATTTAACCCTTGGTTTGCGACTACCCTTCGTCTTTAGCCTAAAAAGTCGTATAGGCCTGCTAACTCAATGTGGTATTCCCCGCGTAATTCTCTACATCATTCCGACAATAGTCTTTTGGTCTCTCTTGTTGGACGATATTTCCTGAAGATATCCTTTATCTTGTAGAAAACCTTTAAGTAACTATCCAACATATCTATCATCAGTTCGTTATGAAAACAATACTAGAGGACTAGTGCCGAATGGACCAATACCCAAACACATTGGAAGACTTTCTTGAATGACTCTGTCTGGGCAGATGATGGATTCCTGAGGACAGACGCCAAAGCTGGTAAGATTATCTTCTGAACATTACAAATCTCATTAGTACCTTGCTTTTGACTGACTGCTTGATGAAGCTTCATCGGTAGAGTAAATCCAGGGTAAGGTAGCATGCGCATCCATATGACATTGAGTTCATCCAAATGACAATATTCCTTCAGGAAGTCCTCCAGCCACTCCATAAGATGTTTCAGGATTCCTAAGTATACCACGTGCAGCATGTCTGGCTTATGGAGGTCGTAGGCTTGTACGAAAAGGAGATTCCAGAAAGGCTTGCATCAGCAAGATTGTACATATTCATGAGTCTCCCAACAGTCTCCTGGGTCTCCTGAGGTTCTCCTGAGACCTCAAAACGGATTTTAATTCTCTGGAGACACAGGAGACACTTTACAGAGTTTGTTGAGCTTGCTGAGGTGTACAGAGGGGTGATTCCAGAAAGTGTTGTACAAAGGCCATAAACCAAGAGAATCGAGCCACTTGGTCAGGGTCTTCAGCTCCCCCCTTTCATCTCGCGTCAGATTCTCCAGTACCTTCAGCGCTCTGTACTGATGATATATTTTCTTGTATTCGTCCTGATCACAAGGGTAGGTCTTGAACGGTTCGGCTTCGTATTTGCCCAGTCTATTGACGGGTATCTCGCATTTGGGTCACAAATTGAACTGGGTATTCAGAATATTGCAGCTCTCCATGTGATCCGAAAGCCACGCCGTTAGAATTGGCCAACAACATCTCTCGTACCCGTCTGAGCAGCCCATTAAGATGCCGAGCTTTTGGTCAAAGTGCAGCAGAGCATCAGCAAGTTTAACAATTTCTGTAAACTGTCACCTGTGTCTCCAGAAAATCAAAATACGTTTTGATGTTTCAGGAGAACCTCAAGAGAGCCGGGAGACTGTTGGAAGACTCATGAATATGTACAATCTTGCTGATGAGGCTCCAGTATAACTGACATGAATCTCCTCAGCGTCTCCGACGCCCAGGACTGGAGTCTCCCCTTCGACGTCGCGTCGCCAATTATTTTAATAGGTATTCGTAATAGTGCGAGAAGCAAATGCGCCTTGATCGATGGTTTGGATCGTACCTTTCCAAGTATATTGCCTATCGTCATATATATCGGTTAGGTCTTCTTGTCTCCAGGGAGGTTTGTCAGGTGTGTGACGTCGAAGGTGCAGATAATCGGGACAATCGTGGCCCCGGTAGGATGTCTTTCCTAAATTCTCCATCACCAGTTGGCTCTATGCATCTCGGAATAAAGTTGATATCTGTCCGCGTCCAAAATCTTCTCTGGCCGATAAATCATGCCTTACTTGTAGCAACATTGACCCAAGAGATACGTCATGGATTCGACCGGATTCCTGTAGTATAAGTCGATCGTTCCCCCAAAGCTGACCCCCAAGATCCCGTATTGAAAGTTGAGTAGGGAGCTGATCATTTTGTCGAGTTGTTTATGGAAGGTGTAAGAGGATGCAAAGGGACGTCTGTCCTTTATCATTTTGTGCAACCACTGATTGAAGTAGATCAACTTTCCCTCGATACAGAAATGAGACAATCTCCATTCCACCGCGTTCTTAAACGTCGCCCAAAGCCTTCAATTCTCTTTCATATATTCCCAATAGCCCTGTACCAGCCCTAGTCTTTGTCCACTATTGGGTAAGTATGTTGTTGTCCTTTAATTATTGTCAAATTGCCCTACTGTCGGCGGGCCAGTCATCGCTATGCCGTTATCGTCATAATCAGCATCAAAGTTGGATTCCACCCAGGAGTTAGCTTCTGAGTTGGTATGGTCGTCAGAGCTGTCAATTAACATAGTAAGCGTACCAGGTCCAGCATCTGGCAATGTAGTTTCGTCCTCCTGGTCTTTGTCCTCACGTGCTTCATCACCACTATGAACCCATTAAATATGTCTCGCAAGATTCCGACCATCATGGTAATACCATGGGCAGAAGGGGCATGCTATAAATACCATCTGGTCTTTTGATCGTCATCTGTCTATTTTAGTTTGTGGTTTGTTTCATTTTCGCATTCAATGGCATCGGAATTGAAGGTGTTAATACCATTTGAATTCTGATGGAGTAAAATGACGACCATCGCACAGACGGATGATTGTTTCCCTGGAGTTGTTAGCCACGCGACAAAATTTGCCAAGCAAATACAACCAGATGTCATTTATCACAATGTTGATTCTCCCAATATCGATTCTCACAACGTCGTTTGAGCTCACCATCGACAGTTGCAAACCTCTATTAAAGCACTCGTTTTGATTCATTCATTAACCTAATCTGCCAAGGATGAGCTTTTGTTTGTCGTCCTCTGCCTTGTGTATATGGTTAGGCGTTATAAGTTGCCAATTCCAACATACCATCACGATGGTAATTCGCATAATCTTTGTTCTATATAAGGATCTAAGTACCCCATTATTTCCCCAGAATCTATCTTCCTGAATGAATCTACCAACGGTCAACCGTCTTTTGACCACCTTCCTAACACAACTGACTACTATGTTGGCAACTCAGTCAGTTAAGAACAAGTCAGCATTAGCATAAGCAGGAAGGGCATCTACGAAGAAAAGAAAGAAAGCTGCCGATAACGAGGGCCCATAGGTTTGTAAATCAGCAGAGCAGTGTGCATAGCAGAGGTAAGATTTTTATCAAGTCCTATATCTCTTACCTTAGGACGCCCGTTAGGGGTATGCAAAACAGAGCAGATTTACTGGCACTGAGGTTAAGTCCTTGCCCGGCATTACACCAGGCCATCAGCAAGATTGTACATATTAATGAGTCTCCCAACAGTCTCCCGGGTATCCTGAGATTCTCCTGAGACATCAAAACGGCTTTTGATTCTCTGAAGACACAGGACACACTTTACAAAAATTGTTAAGCTTGCTGATGGGCCCAATGAAGGGACGTGTTCGAAGCTGTGCACGACTATTTTGTCGAGAATGCGATTGCCAACAGAACTATGGCAAGAGACAAGTAATGAGACGAGATCGTGAAACTCCTGCTCAATTATCCACCTTGGAAAAAATTCAGACGCCTACTTCAATAGCTGGAGGAAGATTGCACCTTACAAGAGTCTTTGGTCAAAGTCTGTGTGAGCAGTACACTACAGGTCTTGTCAAACGTAAGTCTGCTAAGGAAAGAGAGAAGTTCTCTGAAGTATTTAAAGAGAATGAGTGTGTGGCGAAATTAACTAAGGTGAAAGCAGCGAAGAAGGAGACCAAGGAGAAGGCGACCGACCCAAAAGGCAAGGGCAAGCAGCAAGAGATAACGCCAACTCACAGTTCGACAAAGAGGAGCAAGCAGACCTAGGAGCATCTGCGAGATGACGAGGACAGGGATTATCTTCACATTGACGAATTTGCCTCATCGGAAGACAAAGCGGAGAAGCCGAGGGACAAGGTAGACATCAGAGATGAGACGGATGATGAATAGACATCCGAGGAAGCTGACTGCCCTTCTCGGAGAAGACCCAGAAAATTGAAATGATATCATATCTTCCTCATTGACCTGTTGGTATTTTTCATTGTTTCCACTCTAGATATCGCTTTGAGCGGACCGGAAAGGAGAAGTTGAGACTATGTTAGACCCCATGAAAAATGCTTAATTGGACTCCAAGAACATTTGGTGGGCATTTTTACCTGACGTTTAGTTCACTTCCCGGTCCGTATCTATTGGAGGTCGTGAGGATAGTCAGGGGGGTACAATTAGACACTGCAATCCACGGTGGTACTTCTGACTTACCACAACCCACGATACACTATTGGTCGTGTATTTTGTCCTCGACGAGGAGTTTTTCAAGACCACCTCGCGTCAATACCATGTTTACTGACGTTACATGAACAGGTCATCTTCCTACAGTCGGACAAAAATATCAGAGTATGGCTCAATGCTTGTAGACTTGCACCATGACTGAGACAATTGGTAGTTTATAATGCGGGTGATAAATATGACAGGCAGACTTCACCACCACTGTCATTCACCTACTTTCACAGTGACTGGAAGGTGCTGATAGATAATCAGTTACGGATTGACTGAAGAGCGTCGAACATCAAAGCTGAGAAAACAGGAACTCGTTGGAGGAAACCGACGAAGAGGAAGAGAAGTGAGAGTGTGGAGGTGACTGACAATGCTGATGATGATGATGACGACAACGTCGACGACAACGATGACAAGGAAGGAGTGGTTAAAGGTGGAGGGTCGAGTTCCTGTAAAAAGCTCAGAGGAGAGAACGTCAGAGAGTGTAGCTCGAGCAAGGCAGGTCCGAAAGACTATACAGGGGACAGCTCGAGCAAGGGGGCCCGGAAAGATGACAATGATGGCAATTATGATAACGGCGACAATGACGAAGTGCACGAGGAGGAAGATGATAAGGAGGACGAGCAAGAAGAATAGGAGAAGGAGGAGGAGGACGCCCTAAGAACAAAGAAGACAAAAACACCAGAGCCTAAAATGCTGGCCAAGGTGCTGCCATCAAAGAAAACTGGCTCGAAGACTATGGCCAAAACACCTACTCAGACTACTTCTGCCCAGTGAAGAGGGGACCGGGAAAGGTCGAGAGCATAAGTTGGACTAAACCCCGTACTAGTAGTATAGTTTTTCCTAATCTGGTCAATACGATAGTCCCCATTTGTTCGATGAGCCTGCTGAGATCCCGCCTTATGAGAGTGAGCCAGAGGAAGAGCAAGGGGACATGATATCAGAGTACGAAAGCTGGGCCACTAGTTCACAAGCTGACAGTGCTCCAGAGTCTGAACGATGAGTAGCGATGAGCCTGCCGGGGAAGGTAGCTATATTGATGATGGCCCTAATGGGTGTATTCCTGCCGTTGTGCATGGGAATGAGTCAATCGATATGGAGGTAGGTAACCTTACCGATACATGCGTCAGTTCGTTTGAAGTGGCTAAACTCCAAACAATTCCCCGTCTTTCCCAGTTCCCCCACCCCCAAATTACCCCTGCTCCCACTAATATCAACCTCCCAGACCTCCCTGCGAAGCGCTCAACTTCAGTCTCTGATCCTGCGACTCGAAATTAACTTCGGTTCGAGTAGCGCTGGTTGATAGTAGGTTATGTGCTCCAGTCAGCTGCTCGTGAGTTTTCTGACCCTACTCGCAATCTTTAGCATTTGACGGTTGCGGTTCTCGTCTTTTTGTAGGCCAATTTTTATGCTGCTATTTTTTAGGCCCTTTGGAGGTTGTTGTTATATGTTTGGTCTATCTGTTTTGCGTGATTTGACAGTCGTCCTGGTAATCTTTTGGGATTAGCCTTATCTATTTTGGGTCTTTTGGGGCTGAGTTTTATCTCATTCAGATTGTTTGATGGGGGTCCTTGTGGTTTAGGGGTAGTGATATCTGTTAAGGTTTTTTGGCCCAGGACGTGAAGTGAGTTAGGTCTTTCGACGCCAGTTAAAATAATTATAAATTTATCTGATCATTGATAGTATTCTGTTATTAGGAGTGTCATTCGACCGAATACAATACCCAAAGCTTAAACAAGATTCACAGTGATTAGTATATTGAGCAAAAAGACATAGCCAACGCCAAGCAAGTACTTAGTCATCTGACAATCCAAGTCACGTCCGATCTCCTCAATCCAATTTGAAGGCGAGTATACAATTTCTGTTGCTCACTTAGTCTATGACAACTCTAGTAAATGGACTGTATCGATGGAATATGATATGCCTCCCGGTAGAGGTGAGACGACCGTTTGATTGGCTGTATATGTAATGGGGACAACCTTTCCACCTATCGCTAGAGTCCGATAGAAAGATGGGGCCGTGCAAGATAGAAATCAGGTTTAGATTATTCAAAGATTTATCAAAGAATTTATCACTAGAACTCAATAATCTGTAAGGGCTCTGCTACCGAGTAGAAAATACTTGATATTTTGAAGAAGACTGGAGAAGTCGGATAGTTAGGCAGGAAGGAACCTGAGTACTTATACTCCAAAGGATTGCGTTCTCTGCTCCTACTTCCTTACTAAGTTCCAGTGATGCCCTCTAGTAGAAAGGAAGCAATTCCACCGCTACCCAGCTTCTCTCTAAGCGTTAGCGAGTGCTTCCAGTTCCGAAGGCAACCACCCTTAATCTAAGCCTTTGTAACACCCGTAGTCTTGGTTGTAACACAACCGTGACCCGCATGAATGAGCTACTGCTTAGGCGTAAGCTTAATTATTGCTGTAGAGCTCATCGCTTATTGTAGACTTTCCCAAGCATAGTCCTTGCCACTACCGGCGGACTTATCATGCTCAAAGGATGTAGAGGATCGCCGAGCACTCAGAGCTTCACTCTGGCTGGCCTTCTAATCATTGACGAGGCATAGATTCGTCAGTCATTACTCACATGAATAGATCCTCTTCCTAGCGCTCAGAATGTAGTTTCTCTGACAGCTGGTAGCTAACCACACTGCCGGTACTTGCATGTTACTGTGCAGCTGGCTTCTAACAATAACTCTCAGCATGTAAATGGGCCCTGTGTGTACTCATACACTAGATAGTTGAAATGGACTCGTTACAGAGATGCAGGTTTGTAAAGAGCTCATGAATGCTTACTGAGCCTTTTCGAACAGAGGTTAAGAACACTCTGCTACAGGTGTCAACAGTGATACCAGTAATTTGCCCATCAGATGGAACGCACCTAACGAATTTCAGTGTTGACAAGAAAACCTGGCCTGTTTACTTAACAATTGGAAATATCACTTCAGAAATACGCATGAAACCGTACAGTTTTGGATTCATGCTTCTGGCTCTTTTACCGGTTCTACGGAAATTGAGAGTACGTGCAAAAGAACAACGTCGAGAGAAACAGATGGCCCTTCACTGGCACAAAGTTTTGAGAGAGGTTTTGGAAAGTCTTCGGGGCCCTGCACAAAACGGTAAGTTTATAGCGTATACTGATAGCTATGATTGCCCGTGTTTTCCTATACTATGTGCCTGGTTTGCTGATCAGCCAGAACATCCCTCGCTACAAAATATCAACAATCATGACTGCCCAATATATTAGGTTGATTTCAAAGGCTTTGGAAGCCTTCACGAAAGCCCGCGACGGATTCAGGAGCGATATGTTGAGATCGTAAAGGAATCTGAGGATAATAGATTTAACGCAGCACTTGTATGATACCTTGTATTAAAGTCTTTAAAGACCATCTATAATGCCTTTTGGGCCTTGCCGGGGACCAGTTCCTATAAACCCCACAAGCCCGACATACAACACAATATTTACCTGGGGCCATTGAAACACATAATGGAGTGGATTCAGGAGTTTCTTAAAAAAACGCAATCTAATAGAGGAGTTTGATCGAGCTTGGTCCTCCATCGGGCCTTATCTAGGGCTTGCTGTACCCAACAAAGCGCATCGAGCAACTACAAAATGGCAGGTTTAAGAAATGCGACATCTTGGCTGGATAGTTTTGGGAGCCTTTACGATGGCTTTACAAGTCCCTCCAATGGCGGTATGAAAAGACTTTAGTAGAGCTTCGCGGTGTGTACGAGCGTTGATTGACTTCCACCTCATGGCACAGTATACAACTCATACAAAGCAGACTCTAGAGTGTCTGCAAAGCTATCTCGAAAACTTCCACCAATATAAAGATGTATTTCTCGAATTCCGGGCCTATAAACGAACGAGGAAGGATGCCAAGGATCGAACAAAAGTACTGCAAGGCCCCGGAAGCCTTGGGAGAGGCCTAGAAGAGGTTCAAGAGATTCGGGAGGGGTCTTATTTTAATTTCATTAAAATGCATCTACTATCACACTTTAGAGAGCATGTGGAGCGATTCGGAAATATACCGGTGTTTTCAAGGGATGTCAGTGAGTTGGCTCATCAGCAGCAAATTAAGATGGCCTACACTGTTTCGAATAAGGTAGATGCAACGGTTCAGATTCTTGATTACCATCCAAAGCGTATGGTGATAGAGATGAGAGTGTTGAATTTGAAAGATATTGTTTTCTCCCTACCCGAGCATTATGGGGTTAAGACGTAAATTCGTCTTTTGGCATTTCCACACTGGTATCTTTGGCCCGGTCAATGGCTTTAGCTAGCAGGTTTTGCTGCCAGAATGAGGTCACTCGGCAAAAGGTACATCGACTAGGACATGTTTTCCGCGCGACTGTCACATATATTCGTCTGTCTATCTAATTCTATGTACATCATGATATTTGCTAGCGCTCCCCCTACCTCCGCGCGCTCTGCATGCCTGCCTACCTCCATGCACTGCCTGCCTGCCTACCTCCATGCACTGCCTGCCTGCCTACCTCCGCGCGCTGTCTGCCTACCCCGCACCTGCCTGACCACCTCCGTACCACCTGCTCACCCCCGTGTCCAACTGCCTACTCACGCACCTGTCTGCTTACCTACCTATTAGGAGTTTAATTGACATTGATTTCGTGCACCGTCAGTTGTCGATTTGAGCGTAGATTTGATGCTGATTTAGGTATCGACTTGGTGCAATGAGTCGATGTTTTGGTGTCGTTTTGGGTGTCAATTTGGACGTCAATTTGCTGCGAATTTGATGCAATCTGGTGTCAATTTGGGTGTCGATTTGCTGCTATTTAGCAGTCTGTAGCAGTGTCAGTACAGGCGTCAAAATACAGGTAGGTAATTACGTATCCAGGCATTGCTGCAGGTAGGAGGTAGGTGTCACTGCTGGTAGGAGGTAGGTGTCGACGTAGGAATCGCTGCAGGTAGGAGGTAGGTGTCGAGGTAGGCATCCCTGCAAGTAGGGGGTAGGCTTCTCTGCTGGTAGGAGGTAGGCTTCGCTGCTGGTAGGAGGTAGGCTTCACTGCTGTTGGGAGGTAGGCATCGATGCAGGTGGGAGTTGGATGTCAAGGTAGGTGTTGAGGTAGGTGTCGAGAGGAAGGTAGGCAGATAGGCAGAAAGACAGCAGGTAGGTGTAACGGCAATATTATATTCTGGCTAGGGTGATGGATTGGATCGTGAAGAGGAAGTATTGCGCAGTTGAACTCTGATTGGTAATGGGGTTTCTGTTATGTTCTTTCGGTTTCCGTTACGCGGAGTATTAGTCATCAATGGACTAGGGGTTGGATATATAAGGGGGCGTTGCCTCGTGTCTTTTCATGTTTCCTTTCCTTTCCTTTTCTCTTCACGGAACCTTTGTATTTACTCCACGAATACTACGTTTGTTCTACGTCTCATCATAGGGTTCGACTGGTTTGTCATACCAGGTAGAACCATCCCATAGTCCATAGCCAAGAATACCTATTGCTACGTCTTTGCCTCGGTTGTATTCCTTGGCACTATAGTCCCTACGCCCATAGTCCCCCGTTACACTAAGGTTCCGTCCTCTATCGCCAACTAATACAACACAATAGCCTACGATGTCGGGACACGCCCCTATTGATTATCAACAGCTAAGCGAAGCCCTCCAAATCTTTTTC